ACGGAAGGTGTCTCCGGCCGGAGCGAAGGCCTGGGCCCCGGGTGCCGGAGGCAAACCAGTGCCAGCAGCCAGGGGAAAGGAAGGCCTATTGCACGTATCTCTTCGTGCAACAGGCCTCTAGTACTTAATAACAGGTATAATAATTTTATTCTCTTTTTTTAAGATATGTATTTATTGATTTTAGAAAGAGAAGAAGGGAGAGGGATATTTTTTTAAAAAGTATTTAATGTAAATACCACCCCCACTTTCTTTATAATCTTCTTATGGGCAAGGAGTACATCTAATATTTAAAAGGTCTGTTAGCGTACCAAAAAATAGTGCTGGACATTTCTTTGGTTACTAAGAAAATACTTGTTGAATCAAACTGAGAATGGGCAGGCCAACACATAAAGCCAGTGACTCAGTGGATCTCTAGGAGTAAGTACTTGATTTTTTAAAAGTACCTTGGCTGGTAACTGGATAGTATCCATAAGGATCTGCCGAACTTCATGTAATCCACCAATCTTATCCCAGCCCAGGTCCTGAGGTTTATGCAGGTTGACGTTTCGCAGAGATGCAGGAACAAATCCTTGGAGAGCCTTTTGGAAGTCCAGTGTTGTTAAAAGCAATTCTGTTTAAAAATAAACAAAACTTCTTTTGGTAGTCATATCTACATATGAATTTTCAAAAGATGCCATCTACTTAGCTGACAATGCCAATCTTCTACTCAACCAACTACATATTTGAATACTAAAATGGAATATATTTAATTTGTCCCTTACTACAATTACATTTCTCCACTATGGAATGAAGATTTTAAATTTTGGTTTTAATGGTAAAACATACCTTCCCTGGTGGATATACTCTGATGAGAGAGATGAGAATGTATGGCTCGATCCACGAGCACTGTAAAATCTCTGGCCACAAACCCTTCAGTTTCTTTAGCTATATGTTGCAGGTCAAGGTCAGTGAACTTGTTTATATCACAGTCCAGTTTATTTTTTATTACATTATGCAGAATTTCACATCTTTGTTCCTAAAGAAAAAACACAAAACTGATCAATGTTCCCCTCTCATTGATGTTTCTATCTCTACCTCCTCCTTTCTCTCTCTCTAAAAAATCAATAAAGCATATTATTTAAAAGTTTAATCAAATTTTTATAAGATATTTATTTGCATTCTCATTGCCCTTATTCATTAAGAAAAAATGCTTGAAAAAGCAATTATGTGAGGTGTTGGATGTGTTAAGATGATTGTGGTAAATATTTCACAATGTGTATCAAATCATGTTGTACACCTTAAATCTATGCAATCTTGTCAAATTATATGTCAATAAAGCTGAAAAATCCTAATTTCCATGATGTATTTACACATTCCACCAAAAAACTGAAGTAGTTCAGAATTTTTAGGTTGTTTCTTTTAAAAGGAATAAAAAAAAAACCAAAGTGAGCAAATTGTACATTTTAAATAATGAGTTTGTCTTCTTTAATTATACCTCAGTAAGTTATAAAAAAAATTGATAAATAATTGCTATTTCTTTCTTCATTAAGAAAAGCCTTTTTTTAGTAAAATCTGGTTTCTTTCAGAGTGTTTTTTTGTTCCTATAAAACTTATTTTTAAAAACATGTTCAATGGCCAAAACCACTATCATTTTGTTATCCTATCTAATAATAGACAAATATGGTAATTGACCATACCTTCACTACACCTCTCATTGGCTAATCAGCATGATATGCAAATCAACTGCCAACAAAGATGGTGGTTAATTTGCATACATAGGCTTCAAGCGGTGGAGCGAAGACTGATGGCCTGGGGTCGGTGGAGCAGCAAGGCTTC